TGTTTAGTTGTGAGAAGAAAAGTGTCAATCCTGCCATCTTCAGCATACTTTGCTTCGCTGGCATCCTGCAAGGGAGGGGAGAGGCAATTGAGGAAGTAAGGAATGGGCATGGGAATGGGCAAGAAAAAGGGAGGGATGACAAGATGACAGGAATCAGAGGTGTCAATCCAGAATAAACTAGTCAATCAACGAGGAAGCCTGAGATAAGAATGCGAAACTACACCAGAGAGGCACCAAACCTCAAAGCCATTCCCAAAAGATCAAAAATGAATGCTATTGGACACTGATATATTGGTCAAGTGGGGAGGACCAGGGAAAGGGAGAAAATGCAAACTTTGCGCAGGAATACTCAGATCTAGCTTTGCTTATGCTATAACCTCTTATCTTTAGCAAAAGAACCTTTTACTTCAAAGAACTGAGTTGAGGATCTTTCTTTCCTGAAGGTCCAAGTTGGGACAAACCTGACAAAAAGGCTCGGGGAGGCATGATAGCTGACTTCAAGTAACTGTGAAAGGCCATCATGCAGAACACAGTACAGAATTGGTCAGAACTGTCCAGAAGACAGAGAAAGAAACAAAAGGTCTAAATTTCAAAGAAGTCGATTTCAACTGGACATCAGGAAAAATTTCCAAATGGTAAATATTATTTAATAAAGAAACAGAAAGCCTTGGGAGGAGCCAAGTGCTCTTTTATTGGAGGTATTGAAACAGACACTGAATGACCATCCATTGGGGACATCAAAAAAATGGATTTTTACTCTATGCAGGGGCTTGCAGTAGATGGTTCCCATGGATCCCTTGCAACCCTTAAGTTCCATGGTTTGCCATGATGAAATGAAAGAAAAACTCAGCATAAAAATTCAGTTTACATCTTATAAATAATGATGTGACTTCTTCCGAATCCCTTCTGGCTCTTTTTCATAGTTATTCTAGTATAGTGTTAGAAGGTCCAAGGAACTGGATTAAAAAAATAAGGATCACAAAATGAACATCAATCATAAGGGTAACATGAATTGTTCCCAGAAAAGATGAGATTAGTGTTTAAAATATATTTGATGGGAAAACAAGAGACAAATGACCTTATATATGAAGTACACTATGGTTCAAAAATTTCACCAAGTTATTATACATATAATTAATAAGGATGAAGAAGAGCGTTTTTAAAGTTTAGACTGTAAAACGCTTTATAGAACAGTAATCAGAGAACAAATAATAAGAGATGAATGGAGAGGTCTAATTCGTCACTATTCTGCAGTTACTGAATCAAAGAAACCCAAATAATTATGTATCATTAAGACTATGCCATTTTAATGAAACTAAGAAAACACCCTTATTAGGAAAGCATTTTTGATCTTGCTTGTTTATTGCACTTAATGAGTCAAAACTTGAGGGAATTCCTCTGGAACCAAAAGATCATTCATATTTCCTGACAAACATTCAGAAAAAAATAAATCTTCTTGTGAGTAGAAGACCCTTTTAAATATATGATATGATTATGTCTCCTAACTAATCTCTGAAATATGGATGGCCAAACCATATATACTTGTTTCCTTATAACAAGGCGCCCATTGGGCATCTTCTTTTTGCCTCCCTCACATATCCTCAATTTCTGCACATTTTTTTAAATTAAAAACTGCACTACAAAATTGGAAAATATAGACATTACTATAGAACCTCATTCTATTTCATGAATATTTGGAGATATAGTGTATATTTGGATAAATTTGGTTTAAATCACAACCTAAACAAATGTTTCCTCTACCTCTGATCTCAAATGCGATAGATAGTAACTACCGTAGTAACATCTTTATACATTATAGAGAAAAGAAGAATCTTCAAGACACTAAGATAAAAAAATCATTTAAGAAAAGCTGAAAGTCAATAGGATGCTAAATAGGATGGCCCATATGGGCTTCACTACCAGGTCCCTTGCCCCATTTATTTTTTTAAATATTAACAAATTGAAAGCATCAGTCTTCAAAATCATCTTCATTTCCAATACTTGGATGCCACAAAAGCTTCATGGTTCTTTCGAGAAGATAAAGATGGAGAACAGCTCCAGCCAATTGCTCTCTTTGCCCTAGAAAAGGGACAAAAGCTGGACCTGACAGTAACTACTTTCAGGGGCAACATAACATGCATTTTGAGACTGCAGTAGCCATTTTGTAAATGGTCAAAGTATTTCCCACCATCATAAACAATTCCCTTGAGTGATCATATCATGGATTTTCTAAGTTCAAATTGACCCACTGACCCAAAAGGGGTGAAGAATCTGCACTGCCAAATGGTGCTCGAGACAAATAAGGTAATTAAAGGAGAAAAAAAACCAAAACAATATAGAGTTAATAGGTCGCCTGGATGAAGGAGGCTAATAAAGGTATAATTGTGACCCTCAAATTAGACATTCTGCAGTCAAGCCTACAAGGTTCCTTCAAACCAATTTAGTACCAAATTATTATATACTACATGGCATTGTGCTCCATTATAGCACAATATCATTCATAATGACTAATTTTGGCTCTATGGGATGTCAGGCACGCCGTTCCCCCACCTTTTTAAATTAAAGGTGTCAAAATAGAACATAAAAGGCTAATTTCTTACTTATCCCAAAGCTTGTTAGAACACCTCTATAAATAACCAAGTTGGGCTGGAGAGTTTGTATATGGATTCTTATTTGACTAGAGAATCTTCAGGACCAAATTTGGGAGATAAAAACCAATATTTTGGATAAGGTTTGGGAATAAGCAACTACAGCAGACCAGGATTTTGACTGGAAGTGAGAAGCCTATTCAAAGAGAACTCTTCTAGAGGACTTCTGCAGGTAGTGATCTAGTATGGGTTTTTGTTGCTGATTTATTCATCTTGTATTTGCATTTTTACCTTGGGCTTTTTAACTGGGGTTCTCCTTTGCTTTGGGATTTAATTGTTGCAAACTTCCTAAACAGCACTATAGATAATTGATAAGCCAAAAAAATTAAGGCATGAGGTAAGAATTTTTTTAAAAAACCCTGTAACTAAATTAGTGTACATAAATGCCCTTCATGGTTGTATTCTGTGTCTTTTTATTTTTTTGGCCTAGAAGCCAATCTTCCTTCTCTTGTTTCCATGTCTGATTGGCATTCTTCTTTCAGCTCTTCCTCTTCATCATTCCACTAAACATCCTTCTCCATATCTCCCATCAGCTTCTATGGCATCCCATAATATCAATTCTTTTCATGCTGTTCCAAGTAGCTGCCTTATCCTTTTTCCTTATATCTGCTTTCATTTCATTCTGTTGTGATATTAGTCAACCTTCTAATACTTTTTCATGTAGGACTCATTTTTTGCAGACATTCTTCTTTTCCTCTAGTTTCATTTCTTCTTTTCTTCTTTTTCTGTGTCCATTTTTTTTCTCAAGATCCTTCCTGGACGTTACAAAAATGGCCTGTCCTATGTTCATAACTTCTCATCCTTTGCATCCTTCATTAATTCTCTCAACTTTTAATCATAAAACTGACATTAATTTCATGTCATCTTCCAAAATAACTCTGGGTGGCTTACAAACATTAAAATTAGTAGACGTTAATGTTCAAAACAAACATTTTCTAGGCAGATACTCACCAGTCATCATTCTAATTCACTTTTGGGTCCCCAAAATGGTTTATTAACTTTTTCTACTTTTCCAGAATTCACATAGTCTAATCAAATTTTTTTTTTCTTCTGGAGTGAATATAGCACAATTTCTACCCAGACTCCTTCCTAATTTATCCATGTATACAATCTAATTCATAGGAGTATAACATGTCACTATTTTAAGGATTCCAATTTTCATACATACTTATAAGAACCTACATTGCACTCATTCACATTTTCTGACATACATTTTGAAAATTAAACCTATACCTCATCTTCCCTACAGGTATTCCTCAACTCCATTCCACAAAATCAGTCTCAGAATAACAGAGTTGGAAGGGACCTTGCAAGTCACATAGTCTTCTGGTACAATTTTGCCAAAATGTCACAAATGCAACCAAAGCCCAGATTTGCCCTGTGCGTGCTTATGATATTTTATGCAAAGTCTGATTTCTATGAACAGACATCTTACAAACCTACATTCCATTGCCTGTGTCCCATTAGTTATGTAGCTGTGGAGAAAACAGGTTGAAGAAGTGACAAATTACAACTTACTAAGGTATTGTTTAGTTTAAGCAGCACTTAAAATCGTAACATTAACTCTCTTGTTCCAATGGCATATTTAGAACAGGTGTGGGTACTTTCATCCTGGCTCCCAACTTTGAAGGGATGGCAAGGGCCATGGTGGGCCAAACCATGTCATAAACAGGCAGGGACAAACTTGGGATTTTTGTTTTTGTCTCCATGCCAAATCTATTTTATAGTATATACTGCAATGTTTATGTTTTTTCTACCTCAAAATGGTAAGAAACCTTGCTGTAGAATTTTGATAATTAGGTAAAACAGGAAAGAAGGGGTTCCGTGGCTACTAGTGGCCTCAAACTTCCATATTTGCTTTATGGCAATTGGTGCTGGATAGAACCAGCAAGACTTTTGATACTCTTTTCCTCAATTGCAAAACAGACATAGCAAAACACCCTTCTCCAACTTAATATTCAGATGCCCTGGATTTCCATGCCCTGGATTGCCAGCCTGCATATTAGGTTGAAGTTCAACCTAGAGGAGATGAAATTGGGAAAGATATTTGACTTAGCTGTCCATTTGTTCTGATAACTTTTTCTTCAGTCTCTAACTGACTACCTGTGTCAAGGAAAAATAATTCTAGCATAACTTAAGTTTTCCGTCTTAATTAATAAAGGTGATTTATATCACATGCATTAATACTCATGTGCATAACTGGAAATGCACAATTTGTGTCCGACAACACATATTATACTTATAAGGGTCTTTGACCAAAGTTCTCAGTGAAAGGGAATTAGTAGTTGTGTCTCATAAAAAAAAAATGCCATTTCAGCTACCCTGGGATCAGACTTTTCCCATAATGCTCACCATAATCCTGTCACTGTCGATGATGGTGTTCAGTCTGTGTGCAATTGTCAAAACAGTACACTGGGCAAACTTTTCACGGATTGTCTTTTGAATCAGCTCATCTGTTCTGAAATAAATAACACAAGTAATGTGAAGAGATTATGCAACAAGCAAAACAGTTTCTGCTTCTGGGCACTTTGTTTTTCTACATTCTTTGGCATAGCTCTATGTCAACATGTTTTAGTAAACTCTAGCAGCAAAGTGCATGTTTGCCTTTTGGACACATCGAAGTGTTACATTACACTGCAACACAGCATGTTAGAGCCCTTCGCAGGCAGTCATTTCCTAAATGAGAAGGAGGAAGAAATGAGGGTTGTGTTTGACAGAACTCCACATTTCCTTGACTGAATCTAAAAATGATATGCAAAATGCATGTCACTGACACTGGGCTTTCCAGTGCACATAACCAAATTCTGTAGCATTCAGATCAAATGTTACTTGCTGACACATTTACACATACAGTAATGTTTGTTAGAAAATTTGTGTAGGATTTTTGTCTTATTATGGAAAGCCTCAGTTCTTTTAATGAATAATACTGATTGCACGAAAAGTTAATTTGGTGAAAAGACCGTTTAGATCAGATCTACCCAATGTTTTGACTTCAAATTTCATTAACCCAACCAGTGGCAAGGAAATGTAAGGATTCTTGCTCCAAACACCCCAAAAGCATCATTGCTTACCATAAGGGTAGCTACTGCAATCTGTACAATCTCTCAGATAATTCATTTCTCAGTGCAATGTTTCTTTTCCTTCTTTCGCTGTGGTGTGTTTGACCTCCTTTAAATGAAACTCAGTGTCCACTAAAATGGCTTTAATCTGTCCCCAATTATATCAGAGATAAGGCAAATTTCGTGGAGAGTTACTATCATAAAGAGTTGCTACAATTGTCATTAAGAATCTACACTAGTCTTCACTGTATATATTTTATATTCACTATTAAGTGGATATCTAGGAATTGAGCCAGCTCTACGAATAAGTGTCTTTTCCTTCTCAGCACAGCCATTATTAGTGATGAATATTTCAGCTGAATTTTCTTTCCATAGGTAAGCCTTAAATAATATAAAGTTAGTGCTTTATATAAAATAACAACAGCAATATCTTGAAGCAAGTTTCTGAATGTTGAGATGATGTTAAAAATTAATCATAAGTACCAATGACAATAAAAAGACTTCCAGTGGTCTTAGTTAAATAGAATTCTCAACTAAATTTCCTCTAAAGGAAAATAAGCTTTACTGTATTTGTTAACTTCTTTAATCAATGGAGAACTAGAATTTTTCTAGAATTTTACAGAATTTTAACTGTAATTTACTGGAGACCCAACTTTTAACTATGGTTCATTGAATGACCAATCTATATTTCTTTAAATCACTAGATAAGATTAACTAAAATTTAATATGGATGTCACAAAAATAAAATATCAAACATAGAAAAGGCATCCTATTTTTTAAAAAATATTTTAATTAATTATTTCTTTTAAATAATTACATTTAAATACATTTTATTCATAGTTAGGGTAATGAAACGTCTGCAAGAAAACAAGCAAGCTCAGAGAGTACCAAGGGCCCCTTATGTTTAATTCATTTAAAAAATCAAATTAAATTATAGAGAATGGAATTTTGCCTTCTTGTTCCCTAAACAATTATCAGTGTATTCAGTTCTTAATATAGTACAGTAATCCTTGACTTACATCCATAATTGAGCCCGGAATTATGCTCGTAAATTGTGCCGGTTAAGCGGGTCATCACATGGCCAATCCGATTTTATGACATTTTTTGTGGTTGTTGTTAAGCAAAACTGCAGTTATTAAGCAAATGCCATGGTGGTTAAGTAAATCTATTTTTCACAGTGGGCCTCTTTAGTAGAAACCAGAAGTAAACATCATTTTTTGACGGAAAAAGTCATAAATTGCAATCATGTGACTATGGTAGACTGCAAACGACCATAAATGCAAGCCAATTGCTGAGTGCCCCAAAAGCAATCACGTGAGCATGGAAGGAAGAGGTGGCCCTCAGAACTTTGAATCTGGGTTGTAAGTACCTTTTTTGAGCCCGTTCTCCCTCACTGAATAGTCACTAAGTGACTGGTTTTAGGTTACGAACCGCCTGTATTAGAAATATATTTTTTATGCATTTTCTTTAATCTAATATTGAATTGTAAGCCACCCAGAGTCATTTGCTGAGATGTGTGGCTATAGAAATAGATAGATAGACAGACAGACAGACAGACAGACAGACAGACAGACAGACAGACAGACAGACAGACAGACAGACAGACAGGAAAGAGCATTCAAGTAAGGTCTAGAGAAGGCCCATTGATGATGAATGTGGTATTTTGCCAAAATGAACATTTAGGTTTCCCTAAAAGTAATCAGTTTTTGCATTTGTGTTCATCTGTAATTATCTACTTATTATTTTTATAATTATTGATACTGTTGCTTTTAGGATGGATTTTTGCCATTACAGTAGGTATTTTTCATCTGAGACCCTGAGACCCTGTGTAAATTATAATGACATACAACTGCAATGGATCAATAATACCAGAGATAAATTGTACTTCCTGTTTACCTTGGGTCAACATTTGCAGTTGCTTCATCGATAATCAGTATTTTATTCTTCTTCAGAATAGCCCTGGCCAGGCATACCAGTTGTCTCTGGCCAACACTAAAATTAGATCCAGATTCTGCCAATTGTGTTTCCAGTTTGTCAGGTAGTTCTTCTATTGCTTCTTTCAGTTGGACCTATAAGCAATTCATAACAGTAATTCTAACTAAAAAATTTCTAAGAGACCATTAAAGTGCTTCACATCTAATTTTAAAATATCCATACCATCTTATCTTTAAAAAGTGCTTCAAAACAAGCAGTTCATAGTTTATTATGGACTTATGACGTTGAGAGGGAGAGCACGCCAGAACTCACTGACTGAAATGAGTTAACAAACTATGGACATAGCTTATGTGATGAGTTTAATTTGGGCTACATTGCCAGATGCCCATTGTATATGCTGAACTCTTCCATCAGCAGCAGTTAACATGCTCATTAATGAGGGACCAGGGCATTTGTAAGCCCCAAAATTTGAAGGACATCAGATTTCCTGCTCATGTTAACAACACTCTTGGCTCAGGTCATTCTAACTTACCATGATGTTAGAACAAGGCCACAAAGAACAATTTAACAGAACAGAAGTCTTCTGTATATTAGAATACATTGGAAAGTCTTGTTTTTCAGGAAAATTACCTCTTCTAAAGAAGTCCACAGGTCTTCATCACTATACTCATTGAAAGGATCCAAATTTTTCCTCATAGTCCCAGTAAATAAAGCTGGCTCCTGAAACACAAGAAATTTCCAGGCAAATTATTTTAATTCATTAACCTTGATGTTTCTATAACAAAATATTAAAGTCTCTTAGCTCATTTAGGATAACTAAAAGTAGCATTTGGCAAGAATGCATGTTCAAACAGAAATGTAATAAAGTCCCAACAGCTTTTTTTTTTCAAGGCAAAATTGTGAGATGGATCGATAGACAGAAGAATATCGTAGAGGTGAGAGAAAATAGAAAGAAGTTTTAATTGTTTTTCTTCCTGACAATTTTTCCATAAGCAACTTTCTCTTCCCAAACATTTTCTCTCTAAAGAATTTGTCTTCCTCTCTAAAGTGCATTTGTCTTCCATGTCTCTATGTGACATCCTTTCATAGAAAAACAGACATGGAGATAAAAAGCTCCTATTTAACAATGTCATTTCACTAAGTTGCTTGGAAGAAATTTTTAAAAGTATAACAAAGTGTGTAATATGCAAATTCTTTCCTAATGGAAATGCAAGTTTATTGCTACCCGATTCTAATCTTAGAACACAATAATAAAATTAAGCTTTGTAAGTGAACTGCATCTGTCAGCATTTGCACTCTCTGACCCACATTCCTTTTAATGATTGATTTTCAAGGCACAAAAGAAACAGATCAAATTCTAGTAGTGTTATCTTATAAAGAAAAAACTGACTACTGTACAGTCTTTTACTATAATACAGGTAGTCTTCAGTTTACAATCACAACTCAGCCCAACATTTATGTTGCTAAGTGAGAAATTTGTTAAGTGAGTTTTGCCCAATTGTACAACTTTTCTGGCCATATTTGTTACGTGAATCACTGCAGTTGTTAAATTAGTAACCCGGTTGTTAAGTGAACCTGCTTTCCCCATTGATTTTGTTTGTCAGAAGGTTGTAAAAGGTGATCACATGACCCAGGGATACTGCAACCATCATAAATGTGAGTCAGTTGTCAAGCATCTGACATGTAGATTTCACTTATTGTAAATCCTTTCCTGTTGGGAGGAAAAATATTCAGGCTACAAATGATCATCAATTTAGTGATGGAGATGTCTGATTTTGTTGAATGGTGAAACTAAAATTAAATTTAGATTGACTATAGTTGGTGACTCTCCTTCAGCTAAAGTAAGTAAACACTCAATTCTGTTGAAAGAAGAGTGATTGTTAAATTAGTGAGAACAGGAAAATGACAAGTGTGCTACAGTTTAATGCAATACATATGCATTGCAATCCATAAAGTACTCATAGCTTGTCAAAATGCTTAGGATCTCAGCCTTTGTCCAAATTTAAGGTCAGGATCAGTTTGATCAGCAACTCAAATGTCAGAATACATTAATACTAGAACTGTGCAAGGCTTCAATCTAAAGGCAAAAGTTTGTTTCACAGCACATGGGGGAGTCCACAAGTGTGACTTCTTAAAGCAGATACATCTTTTTTGGGGAAAAGATTGTGGGTGTCTCCATGCATTCTAAGACAGCTTTTTTTTCCTGCAAAGAGCTGGGTATTTCCAAAGGCAACTGGACTTTGTTTTTTTCTTGAAGATGTTTCGCCTCTCATCCAAGAAGCTTCTTCAGTTCTGAACTTTCAGCCACTTTCTGTATTCACCTTTCCTCTTGCTATGAGAAGCTACATTTACTTCTCTAAATCTCTGAGTTGAAGCATAGGTGAGGACATATGCACCAAAGACATGGCATCTGCAGACTTGTCACATCCCAGTTCAAAATGTTACTTGGGCACACTAGCTCCAATGAAGGCGTATTATGACTTGTTCAACCAAAAGATAGATATTTTTGATGTTTGTCACACATTACAATAATATCCCAGTCTTAAAATTCAGTCAAAGTCAATGCCAAAATAAACAGAATTGGGCAGGGACGGAGGGGACAGACTGCCTGGAATAAAGGCTTAAAAATCAACCACAGTCACACTAATCAGCAGTAATAATTATAATAAAACATTTGTAAAATTAAGCCCAAAAGGTTAAACTAGGTACTGCAAAACTGCAATTTGCCCTATAGGTGACTACTATAGTAGTGAAATGACTTCGGTTTCTTCTGACAGGCTCACTTAAGGATACATATTGCAGCTTAGCATAATAGTTCAGTATTGCCTAGAGGTATTCAACTGTCTCAAGTGTCTTTAATCATTTTCATAAGAAGCAAATGCACAGGTAAAGAAAGAGCGTAGTGCAATGATTAACTGCCAATAGATTACAACCCATGAAGCTATTTTTATTTTAATGGTGTAGTAACGTATGCCAAGTTGCAAAGCTCTTTGGATAAAATATTTTCAATGCATTTCTGCCAGGTTATAAGGTCTGTAAAATCATCACAGGCAGAAGAAATGTGCAATATAATGTGGTTTTGTATTCTCCTTTAAAATGCAAGACAATGAAACAGATTTTTCATTACAAAAACAGCAATTCCTGCAGTATAATTTCAATTACAAAAGCTTTTGATCATATGAGTTCAATAAAGCATTAAAAATGCTGTTTTTTAATATAAAAATCTTATTTTTAAAAAAATCTATTAATGGTATTAGATGTATATTTCAGATATTGTGGAGATGAACTTCCATTTCAATTTTTTAATAGTTTGGCAAAATGGAAAATTTCAATTCATAAAATCTTTATAACTGCTATAAAATAGTAGGAGCATACTGCAGAAGAAGATAAGGATAGTTTTAATTTCAGCTCCTGGCAAATAGTTATATAAAAATGGCCTGTTTCATGAGAGGAAGCTCATAAGCTAAACCTATAAAAATGATAAATTACAATCAGAGAAATAGATATTTTTGCCTCAAAGGACTGATGTTAACTAATACAAGTTTCATGAAGTAGCATCTAAAGAACCAGTCAGAATCATATTTTTCAGCCATGGCAACTTTAAGATGTGTGAACTTCAAATCCCAGAATTCCCTAGCTGGCAAGCTGACTAGATAATTTGGGATGTTGAAGCCTACAGTACACCTTAAAGTTTCAAAGTTGAATATGTCAGTGAAATTTCTCTGTGATCCAGGTAGAGTTGTCTGGAAGATGAGTCATGGCAACTGGATTTCTTTTTTTTGGTCTGAAACATTTGGGTATACTTGGATAAACAGCAAAATATTTCAAACCAAAGGGAAAAAAAGTCCAGTTGCCATGATTCCAGATTCCAAGATTAAAAAACACTAAATTAGAAATTAGCCAGCATTATAATTCCTGGAACATTATTAACTCAGTAATCATTTTAAGTATTATTATTATTATTATTATTATTATTATTATTATTATTATTATTATTATTATTATTATTATTATTATTATTTATTAAATTTATATCCCGCCCTTCTCCTTGCGGACTCAGGGCGGCTAACAATCGGATAAAATACATAAATAACATTACAATTTAAAAATTAATTAAAAAGGAAATATTTAAATTTAATCTAATTAAAATATAATTAAAACCCCTCTAAAAGTTTCCCCTAGGCCAGTCCCGCAAGCTGNCACCCTGATCTCTGGGGGCAGTTCATTCCAGAGGGTGGGAGCTCCCACAGAGAAGGCCCTCCCCCTTGGGGTCGCCAGCCGGCACTGTCTGGCTGACGGCACCCTGAGGAGACCCACTCTGTGGGAGCGTACAGGTCGATGGGGGGTAATCTGCGGCAGGAGGCGGTCTCGAAGGTATCCGGGTCCGATGCCATGGAGCTACTACAATTTGTGATACATGGACCTTTAAATGCCACTCAGTTGGTTCAGAATGCAGCAGTCCATGTGTTACCTGGCACGTTCAATGCAATACCTGCATAGTCAGCAGTGTGTGGCAGCAGCCAAAAAAGCTAATACAATCCTTGGTCGTATAAACAGAGGCATAGAATCAAAATCATGTAAAGTATTAGTACTACTTTATCAAGTCACCACATTACAAAAAAGATGTTGAGACTTTGGAAAAGGTGAAAAGAAGAGCAACTAAGATGATTAAAGGCCTGGAGACTAAAGAATGGTTGAAGAATGGTTGCAGGATGTGGGTTTGGCTAGTCTAGGGAAAAGAAGGACTAGGGGGGACATTCTAGCAGCATTCCAGTATTTGAGAGGCTGCCATAAAGGGGAGGGGGTCTATTTATTTTCCAAAGCACCAGAGGGCAGGACAAGTAACAATGGATGGAAATTACTTAAGGAGAGAAACAACCTGGAATTAAGGAGAAACTTCCTAACAGTGAGGACAATTAACTAGTGGAACAGCTTGCCTTCAGACATTGGGGGTGCTTCATCACTGAAGGCTTTTAAGAAGAAACTGGACAGCCACTTGTCTGAAATGGTATAGGGTTTGGACTAGAAGACCTCCAAGATCCCTTCCTGCTCTATTCTGATTCTGATTCCAACCAGAGTCAATCCATCCAATAGGTTTATCCTGAGAAACACTATTTGTAGTACCCTAATTTCAGAAGGCATCATTGGCAATTAGAAGCACTTCTCCAGAATCTCCTAATTTCTCTCTTTTTCTTGATGGATTCCCCCTTGCTATCTTCTATTGCCTAAAAACATTATTCAAAACTTAGATTTTAGGACAAACTATGATTAGCATAAGCCAAGACCTGGAGGGGGAAGCCACACTTGAGAGACAAGGATGTACAAGCTGACAGTGAATGCATTTCCATTCCATCTTGTGATTCAGTTTGTTCAAATGAGAAATTGTTTTCAAAATATATTCTATGAAAACTAATCTGACTTCTTAAATATCAATAAAAGCTACTAGGAAAACTCAAAGTGACAAATCTATCTGTTTTTTTTAAGACACATTTTGAGTAATTTACAAAATATTTCCTATAAAATCTTCACAAAAATTCACACACCAACAGACATATATAACCTGACTTCTTAAATATCAATAAAAGATGGACTAGCTACTAGGAAAACTCAAAGTGACAAAACTATCTGTTTTTCTAAGACACATTTTGAGTAATTTACAAAATATTTCCTTTAAAATCTTCACAAAAATTCACACACCCACAGACATATATACATGTGAGTTTTCATCCAGAGAAAAGTCCACGTGCATTTTATGTTGTAGCACCTTAGAGTTGCTGAGTCTCACGCAGTATTTAAATCTAAATAGTATTTAAATCTAATTAATTAATTAATTTCCATATTGGGCATGTATGCTACAACATAGAATTAAAATGCACATGGACTTTTCTCTGGATGAAAACTCACATGTATATATGTCTGTGGGTGTGTGATTTTTTTGTGAAGATTTTATAGGAAATATTTTGTAAATTACTCAAAACATGTCTTAGAAAACCAGATAGATTTGTCACTTTGAGTTTAGCTATCCATTTTTAATTACATAATTGCATTGCAAAATTTGGAGAAATGCAAAAAACTAAACAATGTATCTGTTCCAGTTCATGTAATCACTCAGAAGGTCAAATTAGATTGATATATATTAAAATGCAACAAAAGGCATTATTTATCTCACTCTGAACTGAATTGGGTGGTCAGAAGCAGGTTTTATGCAAAATTCTACCAGTGTATTCATACTTAGAGATGCATGAAGGAATGTGATAGCAAAATACATTAGCCTTCCCATCGCATCCACGATAGTAAAATAGAATGTATGGAATTTTTATTGAACACTACGCATTATTTGCATTTTAAGGTTGCTTGAAATCAGCATAAGAAGCAGCTGGTAGATGGGAGATAGAAAAGACTTCCATAGGTTTGCTTTCTGATGGGGGAGATGAGGATAACTCAGTTTAGCAAACAATATTATTTTAACGGTTTCTCCTATCTTTTGATTTTAACTGGTATGTACTGTAAGGTGTCTTACATGGATGAAATCAACCAAATAATCAGAGCCCATCTCTAGAATCGACTTCAAAATATTTTATTTAGATGCAGTAATGAATATTGAGAAATCTTATCCCAAAACCTTAAGTCTCACTTGTCAATCAAATTTAACTTGTCAAACTAATCAAACATCTTCCAAGCAGCACATGCACACCTCAAACCATGGTTAACATTGCAAAAATGGAGGAAGAATTTGTGCAAATCAGAATTAGAAAATATACTGCGTATGGTCATACTATGTAGCTGTTTTCAACACAAACACAATAATACAATGTAGTTTGTCACTGGTATGATCAGCATCTTACAATTTTGCGGACTTTTATGTTCCACTGACAATATGAAAAAAAGCCTCCTTTAATGTAAAAAAAAGTAACTAAATACTTTTAGACAAATGAAGCTCTCCCTCATGAATTTGATTCAATCTTATTTATACTGCCAAGATGATAGACGAGGCACTTTTTGTTTTATTTTGAAGTGCAATTCCTATATAAGGAACTTAATATATCAACAATGTATGTAACAATAAATGGGATGGAAAATAAAATTAGTGTAGGAAAATATCCTATCCTTCTAAAAATGTGTATTTTTTTCCCCCTGGGAGAAAAAAAACCTCCAGTATTATACAATACGGTTCCCACCTGAAATAGCTAGGAAAGCTTTCAAAACCTTGCAGCTATTGAATGAACAGTTCGTCATCTGTTTTCAGGAGAAAAGAATATTGTGCAAACACAAAGGCAGAAGAATTTAAGTCCATGTAAAGTCCTCTTAGGTACAAAAGGGTCATCAACTTCACTCAGCAGCACTACTGTGCATTTATGAAGCCTTCAGCATCCAGAAACAAAGAGGGAGCTTGCATTAGGCTACAATCCAATTGTATTTATTTACTAGTAATAGCATACCTACCTCTTTCCGTGCTTTCTATTCTCTGAGCAGAGGGGCAAAAGGAGGGTAAGGCAAAGAGAGCTTTTAAAGAACCATACCTCTTGCCTAACTTTTATCATGGTAGTTCAAAACAAAAAAAAACAAAATAATCAAAGAGAAAAGGGGAAAAAAAATCTCACAGAAAGCCCTACAACCACACATCATTCCAGGCTTCATGTCATTTAATACAGGGTCCCCAGTCTCAGTCCAGGTCAGGTGAAACAGTACACAACTCGACAAAGGGTAACTGGCAGAAGCTCCCTGCTTCAGTTTTTGAGGGAGAATGTAGCTCTAGTTACATGTTAGGAGGCTGACTTATGTTTTGTGTTTTTGTAATATTTAGCCTTGACAAGGAAGACATTACAGGGAAGAAGGACTAGAGAGCCTTATCTCAAATATATATTATGAGTTCATAGTTAACAATCCTGTGACAATTGTCACACATTACATTGATATACGTAGTGAAATGGATACCCCTGTTTCATTACTCTCCGAATGCAACCTATATTTTAAGCTGAAAACACATGACAACTAGAATGTGCAGGGATTGGAAGATCTTTTGACTTCTGAGATAGGAGAGAGAAAAAATCAAATTTGGCTTGCCAAAATTTATGACTGACATCTATCCACTTAGCTACTCAGAAGAGTTGGGGAGGGAAATATAAAAATTGAGCATTTTGATGTCAAAAGAGCAAAGGTGATCAAGGCAATCATGAGTCTAAGAGGCCCCATGCTTCCTTTGCACACCACTAATGCCCGTTCACCATTAAGCAACCTATTTCTTAATTTAAAAAGCAACCTGGATATAAAACCATATTTGCTCTGCTCCCATTCCTGGGTCAGTACCCCTCCACCCCACCCCCGGGTCCTCATAGGGACTGATAGGATTGCTTTTCAATCCAAAAAACATAGTTCAAAGGAAAGATGGCCAGACATACTCTTTTAAAGAGATGTATTGGAGCTTATAGGGGGCAATGATCAATGTGTTTATATTGTTACACATTTAGAATGGCACAAATGAGCCTGAGAGATTGGAGCTGATAGCTGTTCAAAGCAGCGACTCAGTTAATTTACCACATTTCAGGACATATGAGCAAAAATTTTCTAGCCCCAAATAGCCATTTCAAGTCTTCCAAAGCAGCTGAGAATAAAACATTCACATTCTGGAATATCTCGAAAGCCAAATAAAAATTATCAATTTTCTACTAACTAGCTAAAATTATATTCTCAGTGAAGTCTAAAATGCCAGGAACAGGATCTGATTCACAGCACCCTAGCCCATAAAATCTTTTTTATTTTGTGGTGTATATTTGAGAGGACAAAGACGCTGTGTGGGGGTGTGCGCGAGCGCATGTGCGCGTGCACAAACATACTCTCTTCTATTTGTCAGAATAATTTCCGCTCTAAAATATTTTATGTCCCCAATACAGAATGCATCATTACAGTCTTTAAACTAAATTCAATCTGTAGTCGTAACTAATGGCTGAAAGAAAGCTGTTTGGGCATGACAGAAACATAGATAATGAACCTCTTAAAATAGTCATAATAATTTCACTTCATTTTCAGTCATCATTCAAGAAGAGAGGATTAACATACACAGAGACATCACGCTACTCTATAAGATTCCTGGCATATAACCAGCAGAGTGCAGAAGAAAGATAAAGAAAAATTTACAACCCTGAGGTTTCTGGAGAGCACTGGATGGACTTCTAAAATAGGCTGATACGCAAAGCAGACCAATACCTGAGGTATGATTGAAATTTTCTTCCTCAAGTCATGAAGTCCTAGTTCTGATGTCAAATATTTATCAATCCAAATTCTTCCTTGAGGCTCGGCCAACCGGAAAAGAGCAGCTATTAGAGAGCTTTTGCCAGCTCCTGTTCTTCCCACAATTCCAACCTGAAAGACAAATACAAAAAAAACCATACTGTATACTAGGGGAAGAAGGCATTTCTAAAGCACTGCTTCTAATTATCTTGTTTATTTTACTTCTTGTAAGGCAAGATGTACAAAGTAGATATTAGGCAACAAAAGATGTATGAACATTGTCTTCAAAAGGAAGATTTCCACTGCATTTGAATGATCTAAACCTATTGTTGGATAATATAGTGATTTTAGTTCATTTTCCTCATGTGAAGTAGGAATCAAACAAATGTTTTCCCTTAGCACATGTGAAAGAGATGGCTGGTATTTATTTATTAGGACTTTTACTCTCCCCCTTAAAGCATACCTATCTTATTCAACTGTTTAAATTGAACTTAAATTTTAATGCAATTTTATATATGTTTCTGAAACTATCATTGTCTAGCTTCAGGGCCTGGGCGGCTCATAAAACATTATTAACATTTGCTTTTGGATAGGAATAATTTGTTTCACAATTCTCAGAGTAAATATTATGGGTAGTCTTTTTATAGACCTTCTGTCATAACATCAGGAGTACAGGAATAAACATATATTTCTTTTACATTAAGAAACTGAAACATACTTCTTAGATCCAATGTCTATTTATCAATTTCTAGCTCAGCCATCAGAGAGACAATAATTAATTGTATCAAATGTGTTAATAAGCAAAAAGAGGAAGAACAAGTGATTGATTAATCAATTGATTAAGTGCCCTCGAGTTGGTGTCAACTTTTATTTGAGTGACAAACTTATTTTCTCCAAGATGATCTGTCTTCAAGTTGGCCTTTTAGTTCATTCATTGCTGCTGAACCTGAATCTATCCACCTTGCTGCCAGTCATCTTCTTCTTTTCTTTCTTTCAACTTTTCCCAGAATTATGGACTTCTCAAAGGAACTGCCAAAATATTATAGTTTGAGCCCAATCACTGATGTCCTGAGTGAAAATTCTGGATTGATTTGTGGGTTTTTTTGTTTTACCCATCATATTCTCAAGAGTCTTCTCCAACATCAAAATTTAAAAGCATCAAATACTCTTTCTATCTTACTTTTTCAAACTTCAGGTTTTGTAACCCTATGGGGTCATGAGGAAACCTGAACAATGCTAATCTTTGTAAGTACAGAAAGGTCTGGACATCTGAACATCTTTTTTAATATTGTCCTCTTTAAATTCAAATAACTATACTGAAACTGAATTAGACTTCAACTTCATAATTAAAATATCTAAATTGTGCTTACTCTGATTTACTAAAATACAGGAACGCTAAAATAGATACTACATTTTAGATTTTCTATTTTAAAAAACAGAATGTTGTCCTTGAGGTTTGTGCCATATTGGAGAAAAAGAGAAAAGATCAAACACAAGTTGTGTAAACCTAATAATTTTTTTCAACTGAGCTGAGAAATCAGTTTTCAGCAATGTGAATTTCACATGAGGAAAACCATTGAATCCCATTTCTGCATTAACCCTCAATTTTTTTTAAAAAAAAGTTCTGCATGAATGTTTGTCAATGATATTATAATACCTTTTAAATACATTTCTCTTGGTACATATTACTTGCATGTTTAATTGGGAAATGCTGCTTTTTGTCTTCATTGGTATATTTTTTTTTAAAAAATCAAGCAGTATACTGTGAAATCAGGAGCAGTGAGATTCTGAATTCACATTCACTGGGAGGTGCTACCTAGCCTAAGATCACAGCAATATTCAGAAATTCTTCAAACTTCCCTTTCAGCCCCCAAAGCCCACCAGCTGTTTTTCTTCACTTGGGACAACATGTTTTACCCTCCTCTTGGCATCAATAGAATAATTGGAGAATTAGTTGAGATAAACTCTCAACAATATCTCTTTCAGTTGTTTTAATCGCTGCAGATGGAAGCTCCTGAGGGAACCTTAGCTAATCACAAAAACACTAAACAAAGTCGGATCTCTCTTTTCTTAGAAGGCAAACCACAAGAAGATCCCAGAAGCAGCAGTGGCAAACCACTTCCTTATTCCTGCTAAGAAAACAGCCCAGGTACATTAATTCAGCAACATATTCCCTCTCTTCCTAGTCATGTTTGTTTGGTTCGTTACTTTCCATGACATCTAAATCCTTATCCGCTATTAGAAGAGCATATGACTACTGCAAGAGTTGGCCCAAGGCAAACAAAAGTATGAAAGTGATAAAGAGATATCTTGAATAAACTCTTAGAGGCTTCCGCTTCCCCATGAAGTCATCTATGCAAAATAAAAGCCAGCATCTTTATAGTAGATTTACATAAATTGTAGTTTGAATAGTGGAATTATTCTTTCTGAGATTAACTGAGAATTAGGGGGATGAAGCAGCATTTTATAAAATGGGAGGTATAGCTGAGAAGAGAACCTAACCTCTCTAATTGCTTGTACAAGTTGTTTTGCAGTATTTTTAGAACCATCCTTGCAAATCCTTCAGTGCTGTGGGTATTGCAAGCAATCCTGGGCTGAATCAATCCAAGGTTTCAAATTTATTATATTCCTGTCCAGAAGCAGCCTAGTATAATATTTAAAACTACAAAATCATGAATCTTTCCAAACCTAATGTCTACTGTATAATACAAACTATAAAAAGATAATTAAAAAAAAATATCTCCTAGAACTAGAAAATCCATTTTATCTTAAATCTACAAAGTACAACATGATTCATATTAAACCTACATATAATAACATCAAAATTAATGTATAAGCTAATAGTTGTAAACTATTACAAAATTAATAAAGTATACTACAATATTATTTTATACTATCTATAAAAATAAAAAAATATGATAGTAAAATATTCATAATAATGGGCTATAACATTGTTTAATACTGTTAACCAAAATGAACAGAAAACAAAAGACAGAAATACACTATTACAATTATGTAAGAATTTTATAGTCTCTATTAATAGTTAGTTCCTACAAGATTTAACAAGCTGCTGCACAAAGCATAGCAATGCTGTATCTTAGAATTATAAGCAGAAAAAGGGTAGAACGACCTAAATTGGTCATTATGAACAGCCTTCTAAAAACTGAGGAAATGAGAGATTGTCAAATGTCTCTATAAAATGAATGCTAAAGAAGGCCACTTCCAATTGTTTCAATAAGCTAAGATACAAAGGGACATAAGGGGTTACTCTTAGCATTTAAAATCAACCAGTGAGAATGAATTTGAATGTAGGTACTCCCAGTCCTAATCTAACATCCTAAGTATTATACCAGACTATCATATTAATATATTATCAGATAATCATTAATATAATACAAATCATTTAACAACATATTATTCCAGAATCTAATTGATCATTCTTCAGTGAAAAATTAGATTAAGGAAAACAAAGATAGACATTTTTCCAACTTCCCAAATCAACCAATTTGATTTGAGTAATTGCAGCACCAATAAATATTATATTTCATCTCCTCCTTAAACCCTAAAACAGCTAAAACAAGAAACCAAGAATGAGACACTTGATCTCTGCCCAAATGATGAAGAATTGTGCATGTACAGAAGAGATGGGGAATGGCAGAAGAGAAGTTCCATGACACTAACATTACTAATCCTCCTAAAAACAAAATACAGGTAGTCCTCCACTTACAACAGTTTGTTTAGTGATCGTTCAAAGTTACAATAGTGCTGAAAAAAAACAGTTACGACCTTTGCACCATCCCCATGATCATGTGATCCAAATTCAGACCGTTGCTGTGTCCCAAGGTCACGTGACCACCTTTTGCCACCTTCTGACAAGCAAAGTCAATGGGGAAGCCAGATTCACTTGACAACTGGGTTATTAACTTATCAAGTGCAGTGATTCACTTAACAACTGTGGCAAGAAAAGTTGTAAAATGGGGCAAAACTTACTTAAACAATGTCCCGCTTAACAACTGGGCTCAATCAGGGTCATAAGGATTACCTGTATGCGATGTGTGAAATCAAGCCTATGAAACCCAACCACTGTTAAGACTCTTTTTACCATTCTGACTCAAAAATAAAATTAACACATACGTACTTTTTCTTTTGATTTAACTAAGGCAGATAAATGTTTCAACACTAAAGGACCATCTGCACTGTAAGCAAAGTTCACATCATCAAATGCTATCACTCCTTTAGCTGGCCACTGCGCTGGTGGATGTTTGTGTGTATGCCAGGGTGCTTCCTGTTCCAACTCTGTGTATTCCGTTACTCGTTCCACTGATATCATCTGAAAAAGGGAAACAAAAATTGATTCCTAGGTGTTTACTCATTTACAATACAGTAATCGCTTGAGGATTAATTTTCAGGTTTGAAGTAGAATCAGATTCAATGCTTGCTGCATTTATTTCTACCTGAATAAATATGCTTTTAAGAAAAAGGGGAGGAGCATAAATCAAATAAATAAGTGAAAAAAATATTCTGAAGCAATTTTGCTTTCATATATCTGGAATAAACCTACAGTACATCTTGGTGTTAATCTACGTCTCCTATGTCTGAAAACAACACTCCACAATGGTGGGACTTATAAACCTTAATTATATCCCTCTTCAATGTGCACTGGATTAAACTACAGCAGTTAAACATATACAGTACGCCTTTTTCTTTACCAGTGTGCTACCCTGCATATCTTAAATAATCGTTGTGTTAGCAGTGGACAACTGGAAGCATGCTTTGTAGAGCGGTTCACAGTGTATTGGTTTACAAACAGGAAATAGAATAGAGAACATAGAGCATATAATAATAGTATTGGAAGGGACCTTGGAGGACCTCTAGTCCAACTCTCTGCTCAAGCAGGAGACCCTGTACTACAGATCTCCAGTCTCTGCTTGAAAAGCTTGATAAGCCGTTCCATTGATTACTTATTCTCACTTTCAAGAAATTTCTCTGTAGTTCTAGGTTGGAGGTCTCTTTAATGATCTTCCACCCATTATTTCTTGTCCTGTCTTCAGGCCTTTGAAGAATAGGTTGCCCACCTCTTCTTTTTGATCAACCTTCAAGTACTGGAAGACTACTATCATATCACCAATACTCTTCTTTCCATTAAACTGGAAATACCTGGTTTAGCCTCCAGATCCCCTATCATCTTTGTTGCTCTTCTCTGTACTCTTTCTAGGGCCTCAATATCTTTTTTTGTATCAGGATGACTAGAACTGGATGGAGTATTCCAAGTGTGATCTCACTAGAGCAGTATAAAGTGGTACTATTGCTTCATGTGATCTTGAATCTATCTCTCTCTTGATGCAGCCTAGGAGTGCATTAGCTTTTTTGGCAGCTGCAGCACACAGCCGGCTCATACCTAAGTGGTAGTCTACTAGGATACCTAGATCCCTCTCATAGTTGCTATTACTGAGCCATGTACCATCTATTCTATAGCTACACATTTGGTTTTTCTTGCCTATGTGCAGGACCTTACTTTCTTATCACTGAATTGCATTTTGTTAGATAGGGCCCAGTGTTCAAGTCACCCAAGATTCTTCTGGATCTTGAAATTATCTTCCAAAATGTCAACTATTCCCCTGAGCTTGATGTCATCTGCAAATTTGATGAGTTCCTTTTCTATCCCCTCATCTGGATCATTTGCAAAGATGTTGAAGAGCACTGGCCTAAGACAGAATCTTAAGGTACCCCACTTCATGTACATGTTGTTCCATTGAGGACCATCTGCTGAGTATGGTTGGTTCACCAGTTGCAAATCCATCTGATAATGGTACTGTCTATCCCACATTATTCTATCTTACCAAGAAGGTAGGGGGTAGTCTACTTTGTCAAATGCCTTACTGAAGTCCAAGTAAACCATGTCCACAGTATTTTCCTTATCCATAATGTAATAAGTATATATTGATTTTATTTTTAAAAATCTCCCTTTTTCAACCCTGTAGTCCCTATTCAGGGTAGAGTTGGGGTAAATGGGTGGAGCTGAACGTTTACTATCCAGATGTCCTTCTTGACATCTACAGTATGCAGAGTTCACAGCAGATATTTTTCCTTTGCACCCTAGGAGAGAAACATCTGCTGCTACCTAGGATTGAACTCTCAACCTTCCGAGTGGGAAGTGTCTTCACCACTAGGCCACCATGCTGCTCATATTAAGTATATAATAATATATTATATATTGTTTATATATTAATTATATAATGCTGTATAATACAATTAAATTTAAATATATAATGACAATAAAATTAAATATATAATAACAGTAATTTCATATGTATTGTAATATAACACTAATTTAATATATGTACACACTCATCTCTTTCTTTTCTCATCCCACCACGTTGGAGTTACATTATGCCCTCTGAATGAAAGACTAACATGACTGAAATTCTTCCTACTCCCTGTAAGAAGGGATTGCCATCTTTGTTTTCTTTCATGGAAAGTTCTTTCATAATTCTCAACTGACTTTTTTGTTATGAATGAAGCAAAGTTACGTGTCTCAGGATAATGCTGCAAGACCCAATCTGGATCAATCACTGGGACCGACCCAAATTGGATCTAGACTTCTTTGCATTCAGAGTAATTCACTTCCCCACAACACAGAAAGATGGAGGCAAAATCAGATGTATTAGAGCAAGGGAACCAACAGGGCAAAATGTCTTTGGGCTTTCAATGCAACGGTTTTTTTTTTTACATATTTTAAAGAAACAACTGCTTATTACCAGATTTTCAACTTCTGCACTTTGCCGAACTCCCCACTGGAACATTCCTGTGAGAGTGATTGCGTAGGATAAAGCAAGGCCAACCTTTCCGGCATCAAGAGCTATGAGACAAGAAAGAAGGCAGGTATAAAGAATTCTGAATGAACAATTTTCCTCAATTTTAATAATCTAGCTTATGGAAATTGAAAATATAACACTTAAATTACACAAACTAAATGGATATGCATATGGGCTGTGTATTGCATAGGGAACAAGTTCTCTAGGAAAAAATATATTCTTAAATAAAGGATTGTGACAAAGAGGAATCTATTCATTTGTAGCATCACAATGTTAACAGAATTTAACTTACTGATTGATTTAATTTATTAAAATTTTACATTGCCTGTCTTCCAACGACTGGGCTGTTCACCGATAAAAACAAAGAAGAAGAAGAAAGGGCAAAAGATGGCACAAATTGGACAACATTCAAAACAAACCACATTACCCAGAAATTATCTGGAGGAAGTACTATCTCATTACCAGTAATTGGCTTGTGAAAAGAACACAATTTATTCACTTGACGTTGGTAGCATAGCTAGAAAAATATGAGAAGGCAAACCAGAATAGATAATAGTATAATGTTTTCCAGCAAATAAACTTACTCTGTGCAAGTAGCAAAGAGCCAAAGGCCACCACTATCACAAAGATGGCACAGATGGCATCCAAGCGTACCGCAAACCAGCGAGACGTAGTCAGAAATAGGAACCAGGCTTCTGAAAGCAAAAAGAAGAAAGGGAGATTGTTCAGATGCAACAGATACAACATTAGCAGGGCCGAAACAATTGGGTTATATAAATTCGGTCTTATCCTTGAAACTGATTTTGGAAATTCAGGAAGGAAAAGGATTTTTTCAGTTCCATTTTACTTCTAAAGACATACCGTGATACAGGTGGTCCTCATCTTATGACCACAATGGGGACCAGAACTTATGTTGCTAAGCAAGGCAGTCGTTAAGTGAATTGCGCCCAATTTTATGACCTCTTTATGACCACAGTTGTTAAGCAAATCACTGTTGTTGTTAAGTGAATCAGACAGTCATTAAGCGAATCAGACTTCTTTGCTTGTTGGAAGTCAACTGGGAAAGTCACAAATGGTGATCACATGATCCTGGGATGCTGCAACTGTCATAAATACATGCCAGTTGCCAAGTGCTCAAATTTTGATCATTTGTCATGAGGATGCTACAATAGTCATAAGAACAAGGAATGATCGTAAGTCACTTTTTTCCAGTGGCGTTGTAACTTTGAACAGTCATTAAACAAATGGTTGTAAGTCAATGACTGCCTGTACTCTCCTTGACTTACAACAATTCATTTAGTGACCATTCAAGTTACAACGGCACCGAAAAAAGTGACTTAGATAGTGTTTCAGAGTTTACAATCTTTGTAGCATCCCCCTGATCATGTGATCAAAATTCAGATGCTTGGCAACTGCTTCATATTTATGACCATTGTTGTGTCCCAAGGTCATATGATCCCCTTTTGCGACCTTCTGACAAGCAAAGTCAATGGGGAAGCCAGATTCACTTAATTAGTAACAACAAAGTTACTAACTTAGTTACTAAGTTACAAACAAAGGTACTAACTTACTAACTGCAGTGATTCATTTAACACTGAGGCAAGAAATGTCATAAAATGGGGCAAAACTCACTTAACAATTTCTTACTTAACAATAGAAATTGGGCTCAATTGTGGTTGTAAGTTGAAAACTACCTCCACTGAGTCCTTCTGCCTTGTATTAATCCTTAGGTCTGATCTGTCAAGCTGGAGTTGGGGACTGGACAAGGAGTAGAAAGAACCAGTTTATCCTATGGGGGGAGGGAGCTGGGGGGATGGGGAAATTGAAACTAAAGTTAGTGCCATCCTGAGACATCAGCTCATCATCCCAAGATCCCCAGCTTGGGAGATGGAATGTAACGGCTCAAGATCTAGCCCACCTTTGCAGGGACAGTTACCAAAAGAACTTCTTTGAATATGATTGGACAAACAAGAGATAGCAGAGGGATGAAATGAGAAAGAGAAAGTTAACTGGGAAGCTTCCATATGCAAAACTTCAGTTCTGGCTTTGTTTTACTGCAACCATTTGACTTTTAGTAAAAGTAATCTTTTCACTATAAACGGAGTTGAGAGTCTTGCTTTCCTGAAAGACCAAGATGGGGCAGGGCTGACACTCAGTAACTTATTCTAATGAGTTACCACTAAGCAGCACTGTAAACTGTTGGCCACATCCATATGTTGCCTTGTGTAACTTTTGCGTAGATATTCCAGTTCATATAAACATTTAGTATGGCTGGACTATGAGCATACACATATTTCAAGAAGTAAATATGGGAACCAAATGTAAACAGATATGTACTGTATATTTATTTATTTCCCACCTTTATTATTTTTACAAATAACACAAGATGGCGAGCCCAAAGATGTTTTTGCCAAAAGACAACTGGCCTTTCTTGATTTTTGTTTTTCGTGGATGAAGCTTTTTAGGTGAGAAGTGAAACACTTTCAAAGGAACAAAAACCAAGAAAGTCCAGTTGCCTTTTAGCAAAAGCACGTTTCAGTTTGCCACCTTGAATTCTCAACAAACTCAAATTTTCTTGGAGGAGAAGCAAAACATTTTCAAGGAAAAAACCCACAAGAAAGCCATAGATTCATAGAATAACAGAGTTGGAAAGGACCTTGAAGGACATCTAGTTCAACCCCCTGCTCAAGCAGGAGACTCTAAACCATTTCAAACAAATGGCTGTCCAGTTTCTTCTTGAAAGCCTTCAATGATGGGGCATCCACAACTTTTGAAGGTAAGCCATTCCACTAGTTGATTATTCTCACCATGAGGAAATTTATCCTTAGTTCTAGGTTGTTTCTCTCCTTGATTATTTTCCATCCATTGTTCTTGTCTTGTCTTCTGGTACTTTGAAAAATAGGTTGACCCTCCCCTCTCTTCTTTGTGGCAGCCCCTCAAATATAGGCTGCTATTATGTCACTTCAGTCCTTCTTTTCACTAGACCAGGGGTAGGGAACCTTGGCTCTTTTATGACTTGTGGACTTCAACTCCCAGAATTCCTGAGTCAGCTATGCTGGCTCAGGAATTCTGGGAGTTGAAGTCCACGAGTCATAAAAGAGCCAAGGTTCCCTACCCCTGCACTAGACATACCCAATTCCTACAACTGTTTTTCATATGTTTTAACCTCCAGCCACCTAATCATTGTTGCTCTTCTCTGCACTCTTTCTCAATACCTTTTTATACTAAGGCTTTCTAAAGTGGTAGTAATACTTCACATGATCGTGATTTTATCCCTCTATTAATGCAGCCTAGGATTGCATTGGCTTTTTTGGCTGCCGCCGCCGCACACTACTGACTCATATTTAAGTGATTGTGTATTTGGACTCCAAGATCCTTCTCACAGTTACTGGCATTAAGCCAGGTTTTACCTAGTATGTACCTATACATTTGATGAAGTCCAGATGACTTTTAGCAAAAGCACCTTTGCAACAACCATGACCTGGATGATTGAGAATCTCCATTAACATCAAGATGGCAAACATTTCCAACACAGCTTCCTCCTTCTATTTTCCCAATGACAATCTAGTAAGGTGAGTTGGGCTGAGAGAGAGTGACTGGCCTAAAGTCAGCCAGCTGGCTTTCATGACTAAGGTGGGACTTGAACTCACTATCTCCCGCTTTCTAGCCTATGCCTTAACCACTAGACCAAGCTGGCTCTCATATATATCATACCTTCTGATTTTATTTGTTTATCTAATGTATATGGCTGCCCATCTCAGAAATTACTCTGGGTGATAAACAGAATTAAAATAAAATAAAATAAAATTATAAAAGTTAAATACAAGGCAGCTGAGAAACAACAAACCCAAATAACTAACAGGATCAAGAAGTGGGTTCCTTCACATGCTTAGAGTCCCAGGCATAGGCACAGAAACATATCTTTAGAGCCTATGAAAGGCCAGGAGGCTCAGGGCAATCCTGATCTTCACAGAGAGAGAATGTGCCACAGCAGAAAAAATTCATCTTATCGGCCTTGCCAACTGGCATTCTTTGGTTGAGGGACTCAAAGCATGTCCATCCTGCCTGAATAGATCAGATGGTAAAAACAACTGGAGAAAAATGGTTCTTTAAGTAACCCAGAATCTTATGCGGGAAGGAACCTTGGAATCTTCTAGTCCAATCCTCCCTGCCCAAGGCAGGAGACCTTTAATTAAGGAGACTTTGACATGGAAGGGCTTTAAAGGTGACAACCAGCACTTTGAATTGCACCTGGAAGCACGCTGGCAACCAATGCAGTTCACAGAATCAAATTCTTATATGCACTAAATAACTGATGTCACATTCTGCACTAGTTGAAGCTTCCAAATACACTTCAATACAGCTCCATGTAGAGCGAATTGCAGATGAGAGAGCATCAGTGATAGTGAGCAGGGCCTCCCTGTCCAGGAACAGGCCTACCTGGTACAGAACTGAAGTTATGCAAAAGCCCCCCTAGCTACAGCTGCAACCTGTTCTTTGAGCAAGAGACGTGAATCCAGGAGGACCCCCAGATTATATACACTGGGTCTGTCTTAGGTAATGCCATATCATGTAAGACCAGCAACAGAAGGTTCCTGACATTAGAAGTTCCTGATACACCTGCAGCTTTCCAAAGTAGACAGTACATTTTCAAATGTATTTGAAGAAATTTGCCCTAGTTTAATTTACTATAATTTGACAACCCCCCCCTAACCAATATTAGGCTTTATGTTCTTTTTTGGCTACTTGAAACAGAGAAGATTTTTGAGAAGACATACAACAAATGCCTCAGATGAAATAATGCTTAATTCTCCTATCTCATTCCATTTCTCAATTAATGAATACAGTAGTTTATGAAGTAGTATACTGCAAGAAGGATCTTCCTTCTTGGTTCTGCTGAACTGGAAATTAATTACCTTGATCTTTTTACAAACCTGTGTGTAGGTCTTGGTGTGCATCAAATAATTCTTGGAATCTCTGTTGTGCTTGAAAAGCACGGATAGTCCAAAGTCCCTGAAGAGATGATGACAAATGAGAAAAAACTGGGCTTCGAGCTGCAACATAAAGATTAAAAGATGTCAGATTTCAAGAAAACTCTTTCATTATGCTGACCTTTAATACTATTAACAGATATTAACTGAATAAATGTATAATATTTATCACTGATATTACAAAAAACAGTAAGAGTTTCTCTAAAATTATCTCAATGTATACAAAATATTCAGTATAAACCTGAGACATTGTTGTTAGGAATTTTTGAAAATAATGTTAGTAAAGAAGACATGTATCTATTTATTCATGTGGTTACAGCGGCAAGAATTATATTCGCTCAAAATTGGAAAGCTATGGCTATACCTAGTAAAGAAAGCGTAATTCACAAAATCATGTATTGCGCAGAATTAGATAGGTTAACAAAAAGACTTAAAAATCAGGATGAAACAGATTTCTACCAAACTTGGAACAAATTTTATAGATGGTGGGGGGAAAAATATGGACGTTATTGTAATGAGATAAGTTAAGATTGTGATTAGAGCGATGTTGTATAGGGTTTTCTCACTAGTAATTAATGGTGAATAGTGAATTGAGATGTATGTCAAATCTGATTTATCATGTTCAATGTTTTTTTAATTTTTGTTTTCAATAAAATTTAAATTTTAATATAAAATAAATAAATAAAATTATCTCAATGCTTATTTAAAAATTATTATAAAATTATTGCTGCTCAGAGTCACCTGAACTGCGAGATGGAAGGCAAATAAATTTGATAAACAAACAAACAATGCAGAAGTTGCAGGAAGTGATACTCAGCTGATGTACACACAGCCATGATTAGGTTATCTCTCTCCTGAATTGTTATGTTGTTTGATCAGAAATATCTGTGTGACTTAGAATGTGTTCCTCTGACATATTTCAGTGAAAAACACAAAGCAGAAGTTACAATAAGGTGGAATAATGTTGTTTATACCTACTCAGCACCAGAAGGTCTGGCACAAAAGGCTGAGCAGGCAATATTCTGAGACAGGTAGATAGAAATGCTAACTAGCAATGGAAAGGCAGACTTGTGGGAGGAAAACGGATAAGGAAGAAAATGTAGCCTTTATGCTACAGTTATTCTGTAGAATTGAGGTCATTTAGCAATCTATAATATACAGTATTTAAGTAGGCTGCAACTTCCTAGCTTGTCCTCTGTTTCTATTGCAACTCCAAATTTTCATTTATTTTCATTCTGAAGAATAAGAGAAGCGCAGAGGCGTAGCGTGGGGGGTGCAGGGGGGACGGCCGCACCGGGCGCAACATCTGGGGGGGCGCGCTCGCACTCGCAGCTCTCTGCCCCTGCCTGGCTCACTCACTCTCTCTGCAGTGCTGGCTGTGCGAATCCGATCCGAGCCGCCGGGTGGCCGCCCACTGTGGAGGGGGGGCGCAAATTACTTGCCTTGCCCCGGGTGCTGACAACCCACGCTACGCCACTGGAGAAGCGTCAATTATAATCCAGAGCTGAATTGTTGAAATCAAGAGAAAAGAGAAAGCAGGACAATTTTTTAATAAAAAAAAATAATCAGAGACAGGCAACCTTTTGAAGTTCAAAAGTCACATTCCTTTTTTTCCCCCAGCCTCTAATGGTCACAGGTGCATCCACCTCTTTTGGGGGTTATTCGTTTAAAATAAAATTGGTGCATTAAGTACTGTGGGGGCTAAAAGCACCTCCTTCACTTTTTATTTCAACAAATTTCTCAAGCATTCCTAATGTCAAATGCAGGCAAAGCACATGGGAGGTGTGCTCAGAGAGTGAGAGAAGACGGGGCATATGTTGTGTCTATTGCTGAGAGCAAGAAATTAATAGTTTTTGGGGTGCTGAAAATGGAAAAATGTGCTGGAAATGGATTTTTATAGGTGCCATTAAGTGCTACAAGAAGGAATGGGCTAAAAGAATGTTCAAAATCACTACCAAAATACACATATATGTACAGGAGGAAAACCAAAATCTGCATGTGAGCAATTTGCAGCATGGAATGCAACGATCCCCAAGTTGTTAAAATTAAAAACACATACTGGTAGATTCCAAACGTTTGATATCTCTTGATGTATCCAAAAAGTATCGTCGAAGAAATATGAACAGAATAAGAAGTGGAACCAATGGGATGAGAATCCAGGGTATCACGGCAATCGCTACTGCGACCACTCCACACACCTGAAGAAAAGTCTGCCAGAAGAAAAGATGAACAGGAATCACATCTTAGTTTTCAAAGGTTCTTCTGAGTGCCTTGTACACAATCATGTAGAAGAGACAGTGATGTCCAGAGTAGACCATCCCAAAGTCCATACAATCATATAAATGAACATAGTATTGGGGAAAATATTTCCTAATTATTTCTACTAACAGCCATAAGCTGATTTTTTTTTGACCATTGTTCTAATTTCACAACAAAATCAAAGGGACAAGGTGTTTGGCAAATCGCCAAGTTCCACTTGCTGTATCATTTCTGCCCACCCCAATCTGCAAGGTAATGGTATTAATGAACTAACTCAAGAGCAATGGTAAAGATGGCTGAAAGGTACTTCGGGTGCTTAAAAAAACGGCAAATAATTTCCAGAAGCCCACAGCTGAACTCAATATGTGACATTGCCACCATTTTTTTTAACTGTCTTGCTTGTCTCCAAATAAGACAGGGGTCTTCAAACTTGGCCCTTTTATGACTTGTGGACTTCAACTCCCAGAATTCCTCAGCCAGGCATGCTGGCTGAGGAATTCTGGAAGTTGAAGTCCACAAGTCATAAAAGGGCCAAAATCAAGCAGAGTCAGAAACACCAAAATTCTTTTCTCCTAAATTAGGTTGCAAATTTTTCCAAGCCTCTGTCCTCCCATCTTAGCTCCATAAAGGTCCCTAGTTTTTTGTTTGTTTGTTTGTTTCCTTTCAGCCAAGCCCTTTGTGATTCTGGGGCTTATCTCAACTTTATGCACCGTGCTATTTTTTCCTAGGCTCCCTGCTTTAACATTATCTCTACCACTGTAGAGATTTTGAAGGAATTCTACTTTTTTAGGGCACTGCTTAATTAATTTTTCTATTTTACCCTGCTTTTACTTATTCCTAGAACTATAAAATGGCCTCATCAAAGCTTCATACATACACAGGCCAAATTTGCCATTATGCACCTGCTTGAAGTAAATGAACTGGAGAACAAATTTTCTCTTTAGTTTCAGGATCAGCTTAGTTACAACATTAAGAAACAAAATCTCTCAGATGGGAATATTCCTGCCGAAGTGCAGAGAACAAAACCTTCTCATTGAAGGAAAATAAAAGAGAGGGGATATTGTTAGGATGATGTTCTGACACACCATTGTCTGACACACATCCTATCGTTGGAAGGAATTTTACAGAAGCCTCATTAACATTAAACTTATGAAAGGGTGGGTCATTCTAATATCATGCATATGAAAAACTCAACTTGCATGCAAATAAACTTAATGAAATAGTCTCAAAAGGCAGACACATTATTGCACAGGCAACAACCAAGCCCTACACAGAAAGAGAAGACATCTGATTTCCCAACTTATGCAAATTGAACATTATTCTTGGAAAACACATGACCATTTCATAATGAATTAAACTTTACCTCTCCCTTTTCTTTTAGAGCCACCTTTCTTTAAACTATCATCATGAGGGCTGCAGTTTCTACACAGATGGGGAAGGAGGTGAATCAAGCTGATCTAAAATATTTGGCTTGATATTCAGGGAAAAAAGGGAGCTAAAGAGGAGCAGGTAGAGGGTTTAGTGGACTGGTGGAATAAGAACAGCTTGATTCTAAATGTAGGAAAAACAAAAGAGATTTCAGAAAAGACAGGCACAGCCATACACCTCTGTGCATTAATGATTCAACTGTGGAGGTGGTTAGTAGTATTGAATTTCTGGGTGTGCAGCTAATGAGCAGGTTAGCTTGGTCACTCAGCAGTGTGACACTGATGAAGCGAGCACAGCAGCACCTGCATTTTCTGCGTTGTATGAGAAGAGCACATTTGTCTTCCCCTGTCCTTACTACTTTCTATAGAGGGATGACTGAAAGCAACTGTCACATTGTATTACTGTTTGGTTTGGAGCAGGCATGTCAAACTGTCGGCCCACAGGGCAGATGCGTCACACCGAAACCGCGCCCACCCCATTGCCGGCAATGGGGGGAAAGTCCTGATACGTCGCACGATGTCATGTGACGTTGCGAGTTTGACATGCCTGGTTTGGAGGTATTACTGTTTCAGCCAGGAAGGCTGTGCAGAGAGTGGTGAGGACAGCAGAAAAGATTATTAGATATTCACTTCCTTCTATTCAGGAATAGGCATATAAGTGTTGCTTGACCAGAGTCCTCAGTATTGTCAGGGATGTTACATATCCTCTCCATGATCAGTTTTCTTTGTTACCTTCTAGGAGGCGTTGTGGTATCCGAAGCAGACACAACACACACAAACACACACACACACATATTCTTTTGAGAGCGGTCATCAGAATTTCATTTTTAATGCGTGACAGTGTTTATACGGAAAAAGTGACAGTAAAAATTATCTTATCTTAAACACATTGCCCAGGTTTTAAAATGAATTCTCCTCTAGTTGACAAGAACTGACCAGCTGAAAGAAAGGTCATTCCACAGGCCCCCTCAGTCCATCTCTCTCTATGTAGTTTCTCTTCTATCAAGAATCAGGGCGCACTATCTTTACAACCAGCAAAAAAAATATTTTCATACATTAATAGGCTTGATTTATACATTGCCTTTCACTAGTAAATATTTAAGAGTAAAAACACTTTTATACTTTTAATAGTATAAAATATTAAAAGAAAAACAAACCATGTAACAAGACGCTATCTCAAGAATTTCCCCTGCAGATCTTAATGGCTAAGCAGGTTAGCACTGCAAAGGGAATCAGATTCCTTGGACTATCAGCCTCCAGACTCTTCAGGGCTTTAAAGGCTGGTATAGCAAGATCTATTTGTTGGTGAATTGCACAGACACATCCATGGGGGATCTGGGCACAATATGGATATACTGTAATTTGCTATTACTGCCAACTTCCAGAACTTTTATTAATGTTCCAGTTTAGCCTACAGCAGGGTACTTGTTTAGCTTTCTACATCAATCAAGGTTGATTAGTGCTGCCACCTAGCTGGACCACACTGAAACTTTACATTGTGCTCAGTAAGCAATGTATAGTATAACAAGAACACCTCTCTTAACACAGGGATCTATAATCCTTATTAGCAGCCTGACATTTCATACCAATACACAGATATTTCTCAGAATATCCTGAAAAATAGATAGATAAACTACTTCTTATACTAGAAAAGCAAAAAGACAAAAAAGAAAAATCTCATAGAAAGCATGTATTTAAATCTATACAAATATTTTACAAGTCTTACTCTCAGATTCATTTAGCTTACTTATATTTATCCCTTGAGAGCCAATATTGATAATTTGCACTGGTAATTTTACTTCAAAAAATCTCCCTTTGGAATCAGAAAGTAAAATATGAGATCTATTTTTGCCAAACAGAAAAAAAATCCTATTTTGTTTATAAATTCATCCATATATATCAGTAGTTTAAGGCAATGTAAAAGATTTGTACTTATCACCATTTAAAACAGGATTGTTACACTGTATGAGTGACAGGGGAATTAAAAGATTTGTAGTAGCTAAGAAGTTGTTAGAAATGTTAATGGAATCACTTGATCTTTTCTTCCTTCTGCTACAGCAACTTTTCCTGCCAGGAAATTGTGTTACAGTGTTCATAGAAATGTTTTGAAGGGATAAAATCCATAGTCCTTTGTAAAAAAGAAAGCAGAAATGTAGACAAGGAAAGATGGAGCAATTTAGAAAAACAGGAGAATGCTTGACAGGTCTATGGGAACCCTGAGTTAAAGGCAGCCCTGCATTCATTGTTGGCATGAAAAGCTCAGGAGACCAATAAATGCTAAAGAGCAGATGGCCACAGGTTCTTAAACATCACTGATGCGAGCCGGGTTCCAGAATATGGATATGGGAACCAAATCTCTATAATTCAAGGCTGTCTGACCGATGCTTCATTTAACAATCGTAAAAGAACAAAAGTGGAAGACTAAGATATTTCCCTGATGTGGAAGGCCATCATATCAAGAGAAAATAGGATCTGCTGTACCTTCTTGGTCAATACCGGTGCTACCCTCATCCTATGGCTGATCTACAGAATTCTATTTTGGGAAGTGGCTATGATACCACCTTCAGGAATTGTTCTTTGATTGTAATCACTTAATTAATTAATTAATTAATTAATGCTTGTGATGTGTGGTCATGATGGACACTGTGCAATAAAACAGCCTCTTCTGAGGCTGTAGATGGAGATGAGACCCAATTTGTTCCCTACCCTGGTTTCCCATTCATTTTGTTTACTGACAGCTGCTCCTAGGCCTTGAGGTTGTCTATCAGTAATTAATATCATTATGACATAATGTACATTTCTGAAATGCAGGGGTGATTATGTCAACCCCCCAAGTTACAATTAAAATAATCTAAATGTGATTGATTTTCAAAGGTGTTCACCAACTAAAATACAGACATGCAAGCATTTAATTTAGCACGTAACCAAATCCTAATTACGGTATTATGTAAATCAGTATTTGTTTGTTTTAATATTGCGTTACCTCAACTGTGGTAAATGCCACCAGGAAAGTAGTATCACGCAGCTTTAAAATGCAGTGGTGAAATTTAAAGCAAAGAGAGAACTGAGAGGACATGAAACCCTTTATCTAACTTGGTGTTTTGCCATCAGCCAAAACCCAGGGAAAGAATGGCTGGTTGCGTTGCAAATAATGGAAACAACAATTGAAAAATGCAAAATGCAGGAGTGTGAGGGGAAGAAAAGAATGGCTGCAATCTTTCTTCCAGATCCAAATAGCTTATCTAGAGTAAAAAAAAAACAACTTTTAGGAAAAGTCAACATTCACTGCCTTCAGTGAACATCAAACCTGGGGTAGAATTTTGAATATTTTTAAACATCTTGGAATGTTGTTTTTCTGCAATTTGGAAACTCCTTCTTCTGCATATTTGCATTAAAGTGCATAAAGTCAATGTAAAGAAATTATATGGTCCACATTATGAATTCCAGATGCTTATAAAGGAATGAAAGAACCTTTCCATGCTCAAAATTACTGCAAATGGTTTTTTAAAAGGTATAACTTTTAG